CATCTTCAAAATACCTTACGTTTAATATCATTCTACAATTTCGCACGAGCTTGAGGTCTTGAACGGATAAGCGGATCAAACGATGGTGAATTTTGATTCGCTGGTAATAGAGGCGGACGTCTGCGAAGACAGGTTTAAGATATTCATATAGCGTGTTGTGTCTTTTTTAAACCGTAGTTTCGATTTTCGAACATATTTTTAAAAAAAAAACCCTGGTTCACTCGGTTTTTTCGGGTTTTTTTGGTCGGTTTTTTGTAGAAACCGCCTCACACTAGGGAGAATCTTTATTCGTGGGAAGGCACTTAAGTAAAGTTACTAATAAGTAAAATAACTTACAAGTTCCACGCTGCATTCCTTCACTGTGACGTCATAAAACATGAACGTTTCTACTGGCTTTCGACTGTCTTTTCAACTTCCGGAAAAGACACTCTACTGATTTCGGTAATATATTAGTAAAAAGATATAGAGTACGATCTCACGAAAGCAATTGCTTTCTCCTTAAAAACAGAAAAACTACTAAGATTACTCATTGTCAGTGGGATATTGTTCCACGCAATAATAGTTCTTGGATAAAAAGAATACCTGTATACATTAATGCTAGTTTAATTGCAAATGGTTATAGGGGATTTCGTTTGATAGTTGTGAAACATGTCTCCGATATAATGGGGAGACTTCTGATGGAAAATGAATTCCTACTAAACCTTGATTTATTTTATAAAACATAGTTAACTGAGCTAAAAGTCTTCTATTCTCCAATGAGTCCCAACCCAATTTTTGTATTATTGGAGTAACATGACTGTATCTAGAATAATCGTTTTCTACAAATCTTGCAGCTTGGTGCTGGACCATTTCAATCTTTTTGACATCCCTTTTTGTGTACGGATTCCATACCGACGACGAATACTCCAGCTGCAGACGGACTAAGAATGTGTAGGCTCTATATTTAACTTCTTGGGTACATTCGCCCAGGATTCTCTAAAAGCAATCCTAGTGTGCAGTTAGCCTTACTTGTTATTACATCGCAGTGTTTATTCCAGCTAAGATAATTTGTTATTGTTATGCCAAGGTACTTGGTTGAAGGAGTACTGGAAATGGCTTCACCATCCAAAACATATGTATAGATCAGGGGTTTCACCTTTTTAGTTATTCTAACATGATAACATTTTGAGACATTACAATTTAGTTGCCGGAGGTGGGCCCAATTCTGTAGCATTTCCAGATCCTGTTGTAATAAGATCTGGTCTTGGTGACTATGAATCTCTCTGAAAATAACACTATCATGATCAGCAAAAAGGTGCAGTGTACTATCAATGTTTGTGGTAATGTCATTGATATACAGTAAGAATAAAACCGGACCCAGCACCGACCCTTGGGGTACTCCAGAGACCAGAGACTACATCTACCAGATTGGAATGAATGACGTTGATAGATACGACTTGGGTGCGGTTTGACAGAAATGCATTAATCCAATTTGCAGTTTGGTCATGTATACCATAGTATTTTATTTTGTTAATTAATCTTTGATGTGGGACTGAGTCAAACGCCTTGGAAAAATCTAGAAGGATAACATCTGTCTGGATATTCTGATTTAAACCGTTGGCCCACTCATTGATCATGACTGTGATTAATTGAGTTTCACAGGAAAAATGGCTTCGGAAACCATGCTGTTGGTTGATGAGTATATCATTCGTAGAAAGATGCTTTGCAATGTGGCTTAGGACAATATGTTCAATATGATCTAGCTTAATACGGGCCCCCATTAAATATTAGGGCTTAGAATGCCAGACTGCCAAGTTTCTTTTATGTGCCTGGAACCCAAAATTGTGTCAAAAGTTTTGCGCAGTATGTTTATAGCTACACACATCATAACACACAGGAAAAGCGATAATTAATGTAAACTGAGCCCGTAGACAATTACACATACAGCACTTCACGTTACAGACACATAATGCGTTGCTCAGCTGTAACAGGGTGTTAGCCGGAACTCAGAAGTAAAAAAAATCCGCGTTTACCTGAAATTGGGAAATTTATTTTAGCCTGAAGCCGGACATTTCTTTGTGGGTCTGGGGGCATGCGGTTGCCCCCTCTCGATTTTAAAAAATTTTGTGTCTTTGAAATGGCATTTCCCGCATTTTGGGAGTGATTTTGAGGAAATGAAGTTATAAACATGTTTTTAGCCTGCGAACAGGCTCACTGGGAGAAAGGTGAGCCTGCACGGAACCATGCGTTTTATTCAATCATCCCCTTTTCGCATCTGCTAAACGCTAACCAATCAGCGTCGACTGCGATAAATAAACTGTCAACTGTCAAATTGACGCAAGGCGTGTACATTGTGCAACATGAACAATAATACAAAACATTAGCCGCACAATATATTACTCGGAAAGGCATAGAATTCAAATATTAAATAGATATCAATACACATACAAATATAAAGGTTCGGTCACACGGAGCGACAAGTCGCAGGGGCATGTTGCAGGGACATGTCGCCCGAAACGAGTCACACAAAGCGACAATGCTAGGCGAAAACAAGTCGCACAAGCGTTTACAGGCGCGTGGTCACACGAAGCGACAATTCATGCGACAAATCAAAGAACTCCCATGAGGACTTATATTGAAATTGAGCGTGCAAGTAGTCATGGGAATGATATTTTGTGATTGGTCGGAATAATTATTTCCCCGCGACTTGTGAACAGACTAGCTCACACGATGCAACAAGTCGCGGCGACGGTTTTTGTCCCCGCGACACGTCGCATAAAATCAAATCAATTTGATTTCATGCGACATGTCGCGGGGACAATTTTTTGTCCCCGCGACAACGCTTACACATGTGACACACGATGAAATTCGACCCCGCGACATGTCCCTGCAACATGCCCCTGCGACTTGTCGCTCCGTGTGACCGAACCTTAAAGCCGAATAAAATACTACCTTTGGCTTTGAATGTACAGTAATACTTGTACTATGTGCGACTGAAAGAACAATGTTCTGAATATTTTGAAGCTATTACTAAAATACGGTCAGATAGATTGGGATTTGGAATACCGAATACGTTTAAAATTTTACTAACTGTGGTCTAAATAAATGATAAATGAGCATGTATTTATTAATTTCTTCGAAATCACGAGTGTGCCAATAGTGGAAGCCGTATCGACGACGAAATTGTCAGCAGTTAATATACATCAAATAGTACAACGTTTAATGTACGATATATATTTATCTAAATGACATGCCAGCGAGGATCAACAATATAATTATTCGTACATATTTGGGTATCTTTTGTATGCCTTCGCTTTCTGACTTGCTCACTAATGAGAATAATCCGTGAAGCCACGACGACCTCAAAATGTACTATACTATAGTCTGATGTCAATCCGAAGACGAAGTTCAGAATACTGTTATTTTATTATAGTTTCGTATATTGGATTTAAGCGATAGATTCAAGTCATTTATGATAGACTTTTTTGCAGTGATGCTTTGCTATTGCTTTTGGTCTCCACTTCTAGTCTTATTTGTTTGATAGTCCTATAATATATAATATTAAAGGTGATCTACAGTCCGATCTGCGCATGTGCACAAATTAGCCCACTTTTTATGATACAAACAGTTTAACTATGTTTTGAGTTCTTGAAAAGCCTAATTGTTGTTTCTTGATCATTTATTATACTCTAGAAGCTTGAAAATATAAATAGTTGTCGAATAAAGCTCAATATTTTGGACACAAAAATGTAAACAAAGGCTTTGTTTACATACGGACTGTAGATCACCTTTAAAATGAATAAAGTTCAAATTCTTCAAAATGCTGTTGTTGACATTTGCTATTTTTAGTAATTTTGTCAACGAGTGTAAGCCAATCAGAAGCCTGCGTTTCTATACGAACGCCACTACCAAGAAAACCTATCATCCGTGCAGGCCCTCTATTCTTCGCGCCGCCCGCAACCCAGGGCCTGTTCGCAGGCTAACATGTTTTTAATGGTGTATTACTGTCGATGCAATGGAAGTGTTGATAAAATATTGCACCAATTCTAGACCTGTCAAGTTTTGAAAAATTTTATGCAGGAAGGTAATTTCCTCATGTTAGTGTCGACGAGGCGCCACCATAGTTGGCGCGCCCTGGGGGAAATTTTGAAATTTGAGTTCCCCAGATCGCCAGAAAATTAAAATTCATGCAATATTTTATTATAACACTTCCATTGCATCGACAGTAACAACATTGAATTTCTATAACTATTTTTTGGCTGACCCAAATTGGGAAATTGCGACCTCAAGGTAATTGGGCAAAACCATGTTTAACACGGAATTTTTGACTAGCTAACACCCTGTGTAAGTAAACACCACATGCTTGCATGCGTTATAATTGGCACAAATAAGCATGTGGTTTTTACAAATTATTTATTCTAATTGCACGGATACTCTTGCAGACATTAAATTGCACAGATTTTTTACGGACAAGGAAAAATTGCGCGGACCAAAGTTTGCAGTCTGGTTAGAACGTACGCACACCCCACCTCTGCCAAAGTTAACACACTATAGAATACTTAACAATTATTCGCCTCAGGCTCAGTGATTACGGTGACTTCGCCTTTGGCGAATAATTGTTAAATATTCTATAGTCTAAATATACATTTATACACTATCACACTATTACTGTAAGGTGGCTCCCTACCTTATTTAAGCATGGGACTGCTATTAAAACGAAATGACGTGATCTTGTCGAGTTGAAATTTTATCACGTCAGCAAAAATTTTATTTGACTACGCAAGGTTTGTAATGCAGTAACATTGTTTCCTATGGTCAATTTTTGTAAAATTTTGTATTTTAAAAGTACTAGTCATTTGTTGCAATGTACTACATTTTTAAAAAAATTCTCTAAAACAGTTTTTGTGGAACAGATGTACGTGTCGCGTAATATCTCAAAAACTGAATCTTCCACTAGATGTTCCTTTTACACTTACAAAATTTCAGAAACTTTGACCGAAGGAAATGTTATATTAAATAATAATAAATTTTTTTTAGTCCAAATTTTGATCTTTGTCTGCTGTCGTTTAGGCCACATTGTTACCATACCAACACATAATTTGCTTCTTTCGAACGATTACGCTTGAAGTATAATTAAGACTACTGTACACAAGCGTTTCTACTTTCGAAATTTTACGTCATTGTGAAGAATTAATATTTTGCGTCATTGTGGAGACCTTATTTTTCTCTGCTCCTTACAACTGTAGAGAGCCACGTCCCTTAAGGTCATATTCCCACTGTAACATTCTTTCTATTGGCTAGAATTTTTTCTTTGAATTTTGCCTTTCATCTAAATTATTACACAATATCTTTTTTTCTTTTATGGGGAAATATTTTCTGGGAACTCAAAAAATTTTCTGAGGCCACTTGTCCGCTGGTCGGATTTTTTTCCACCCCTGGTTCAAAAATTAGCATTTCCAGTCCATCCCCCTTGGTTGCCTATTATGCTCAATAACATATAGATCGATTGGCTTTCAACCAATGAAAACTCAGATTATTGTATAAATTTATTAATTAACAAGTCTTTCACAATTTTCTGTTCAGGTGACCCATACAATTTCCTAAAGGTCGAGAAGACGGGCAAGAAAAATAATGTTGCTTTAATATATTTAAATCGTCCAGATGCCCTCAATGCACTAAATAATGGAATAATTGGTGAACTAACTACAGCTTTGGAAGATGCACAAAACGATAAAGATATTGGCGCTATTGTCATCACTGGAAGTGGACGAGCATTTGCAGGTATAGTCGGGAGCGGTTAGCTTACGGTGTAGACCCCAGTGTTTCTGCTGGGGTCTACACCGTAGGTTAGCCGAGCAGAAAATCAACATGTAATTGACACGAAATTTCAGTCTGAGTAATTCAAAACAACCAATAAAATATGTTCTAAAATTGGCACAATCAGCATTTTACATGATTGGAAGAAGCAAAATAGCTCTATTTTCGGACCTCATCATGTCAACCATGGCTGAGATTTTATTCTGGTATGGCCTGAAATTTAGGCTAGATTATAGAATACCTGAGTGTCCACTTTTGTAACTAATTTCTTTTCGTGACATGATGATACGTATAATAATGACGTCATTATTTTACTGACATGTTATAAAAAGACTGGGCGAACCGTATTTTTCACTGATACGATGTAATTGCACTGTTGGTATGAATTTTTGTTAATTAAACAAATTTTATATGTATGTGGGTGTGTAAAATTTATTTAAAGACGCTAGCCTCATCAACAGGTGTTGATTTTCATGAGGGGCCTCACAAACCATATAAAAATAGTTACAAATATACTTAAAATAGGTATGTCCCATACACGAGTATTAATATTAATTACTAATTTAGATATTCATTTTAAAGGAATAAACAGATTTGCGCCGCCCCGAGAATCAAGGCTGTATTTAAAACTCTTTTTAGGAACTCCCTTCAAATGTAAATGTATTGTATATTCCTCGTTCTTCAGACTCCACACTCTAATATTTAATTTTGTTTTAACCAGGAAAGATACTGTATATGTTAATTGATTGTATACACTTTTATAACATAATTATGTATTTTATTACTCATTCGATCTTCAAACAACCACTGAGAGTATCTGTTTTATCCAATTATAGGGTTAGGAGGTTATATGATTGTGCAGCTTGCCTAGTGAATAAATAACGCGAATTTATAATAATTACGTAATTATTTTCACTTCGTATTATCGTATCACGATAACAAAATAGCTAGAAAGATGGACGTATATTCTATAATCGCTCCAACTTTTAAACTGTAATCGTATAAAAACTTCTGCCTATAAACAATTATTTAATTGGTCCCTAACTAAATATTCATGTCATTACGTTATAGCTGGTGCTGATATAAAAGAAATGGAAAATAAAACATTTCAAGACTGTGTAAAATCCGGTTTCCTGGGAAAATGGGACAGTGTAGCAAGATGTACAAAACCAACTATTGCCGCTGTTAATGGATTTGCTGTAAGTGCATGCTTGGCTTGTTCGGTTGGTCCCGTTAAGGCCTGATTCCACGGGCGCTTTCTTCGGCGAAATGGGGAAAATTTCGTGCGAAATGAATGAGGTGCATGCGCAGTAAAGATAAATTAGGATTCGCGAGAAAAAGTTTCGCTTCGCCAGTGTGTATAGAAGTCAGTTCCACGCGCTGCGAAGGCAAATAAAGTGGCCAAATTCAATAGAATCGTTCATGTGCAGCCATCCATATTTCGCAGACACAATTTTTCGCGGAGAATTTCGCCGTCGTGGAATCAGGCCTTATTATTTTATTCATCTAAACTTTGTCGTTTACAAAATTTACGCTAATACAAAACGGCACAGGAACTCCAACACAGTGCATGTAACCCAATTACGTTGACGACCTGGTTTAACACATACAATACACACAATGCACGCTTAACACACAAGTACAAAACAGCACAGGAACATATGCACAATATAAATAACATATATAAACAATGAATATATAGTTTAAAGCGAACTATCTAATAATAGCAGACCTTTGGAGTTAGTAAATGTCTTGCTTGGTGGCATACATACAGTTTTCCATGACTGGAGCTTAGCTAAGTCAAAGATTGTTCCAGTGGCTCTAATATTTATAGTAGTCAAACAACAGGTTCTTGAAACTTGTGAGGTTCTTGAAAGATTATTCCATATCTTTGCAACTCTCACATAACTGTTCTGCTGGCATATTGGTTATAGGTACGTGATATGTTATGAGAGAACTACTAACCGACCGTAAACTCGTCGTTAGATTAACTTTGTTAGCTTGTTGAGGCATAATATCGAGGTCAGTTATTGTAAAACCTCGTGTACACTTGAACAAAAATAAAACGTCCTGTTTAAGGGTTCGCTGAAGTCGGCCCAGGAAAACTCTGTGCAAACGTATACTAGATCAATACGTACCCATATAAAACGGAAGGATCGAGACTTGTGCTTGTGTCTAACTTGCCTGCATAGCAGGCATTTATATGTGGACGTAGGGGCGACGCTAGAAGGGTGTGTGTGTGGGGGGGGGGGGGGGGGAACACCCCCAGTTGTCATGTACTGTAGTCGGCAAATTATTGTGTCCCAGTCGGCAAATTGTTTACCCAGTCGGCAAAACCTAAATTGGAAAGGAAGGGAAAAAACTAAAATATATGAGTGAAACTGATCAAAACCTAAGAAAGATACTGACAAATGTAATGACCAGAAAATTTTTGGGGTTTATTACAGTATATATGTGACCACGATTAATAGACGTGGTGTGATCTAGGTCTGAGCGTTTGAACTTGTATCATCGCATTAAAATGTGTATTTTCTCAAAAATCAGTTTTACACAATGCGAAAAACAAACTATTCTACCTATTCCGATTGTCTAGCACTACCAATAAGGTCGGCCCGATGCCGATACCGATTATTCGATTTAAAGTGCCTATGTCATAGTTTGGGAATTAGTCTATTTAGATAGTTTAGATGATTTTAAGAACTTTTGCAATATATTTTATAATTCGAAAATTGGACACTGGTAAAATGGATATGAAATAGGTAATAAGTCACAGATATACATTACTTTGGTTCATTCATTCATTACATTAACCAAATGTGTTTTCCACAGACTCTGCAATCGCGAGATAGACTAAATCCGCGATATAGCACAATCTGCAGACATGCATTTTTCGGCGTCCTACGCCTCATCAGTGCAGCTTGGTACACATCTGTGCACATGATGACTTTCGTATTGATATACATGCAACTTGCTCTCCCAAGCGCATGTAGTACAGCACGGGCCATCAATGCATCCAGACATGCGCAGAATGTCATGAAGGCAGAATGCTCAAACAACCATGCACGAGGGAAGTGATGTGCAAGTTATGATAGAAATATTAAAGCCGACTTGTTTTCCTTGATTGTTATTTTGTAGCTTGGTGGTGGATGCGAGCTGGCCATGATGTGTGATATTATTTATGCGAGTGAAAAAGCAAAGTTTGGACAGCCAGAGATAAAACTTGGAACTATACCAGGTACCAAAAATATGGGCTCAATTTTCACAGGCTCTCTGTCTATTTTCAAAAATAAACTTCGAAACTTATACTCATCTGAATTGTAAGATATCTATTAGCCCGCGTGCAGGCCCAAGGGGAACTGATATCAGTTCCCCTTGGGCCTGCACGCGGGCTAGATATCTATATGCTTCCTTGGTTTCTATACTCACCATGCACAACCAGGGCTTGGATTTTATCGCGGAAATCGTGGCATTTGCCGTAGAGGGAGAACAAAATGCCGTGGATCATTGCGGCAACGACGGCAATTTTTTGCCGTATAGTGTAATTTTTATACTATTCACTCATGTGCATTACTATTTTGATACTTGAATTCAGATGTTGATCAAATCATGCGTAAACTACTATTTTAGTCTCAGTTTTCTTCGAAAAAAAAACACTAAAGAAATACGTAAACATGTTTTTAGCTTGTCAACAATCCAAAGTAACAGTAAAATTAAATTTTTATTACAGTAATTTGAAAAAATGCCGTGGAAACTGCCAAAATTGCCGTAGACAGCTGTTACGTTCAACGGCAATTTTTAACGCCATTGCCGTCGATTGATTTCAGGAAAATTCGAGGCCTGGCACAACCACTTACGTAAAATAATTTTGAAAGCCCTGCCTATACAGGGTGTATAAAAACAGCTATTATAGTATCCAGTTTTTTATGTATATAGCTTCTTTGGGTACTTATAATGTAGAAAAATGGAAAAAATTTCTCGAACTCAAATTTTGTGAACCAGGGGGGTGTGTCTTTTCCAACGAACTAAAAATGGCTTGCGCACGGAATTTAAAAGCTTTAATCATATTTTAAGTTAACAGATGGAAAGTTTGTTGGGTTTTTAATTACTGTACAAAATGTCAGACAATTTGCTTCAGTTTACGCTTAACCACTTACGTTTATGGTTAAAGAACCATTCACGCAAACTTAAAAAATCACCATTTGCATGCTAATCAATGCTTTTGCTTTCAAACTACACCTTCGTTTTGCATGGGTGGTTCTGTGATTAACTTTTCTCGCTCAGAGCTTATTAACCTTCGTTATGAGTCTAATTTTCCAGTTTCTTCAAGATTATTGGCCTTATTAAAGAGTCATATGCTACTTAAATATAGAGGATCTAGAGCTGGAAAAAACCAGCGAATTCGCCAAATTTTTGTTGAGGCTGGTCATAGAATATCGTACAAAAGGAATTATAATCGGTATGCAGATTTTACTAATCTCACCCATATTCACTGTCTACCATTATCTAAAGTTAACAGTCAAAAACCGGCGGTTGAATCTATGTCAATGGCATATGTAAACTGTCGTTCGATAAATAGAAATGGGTTTAAGCTAAAAGATTGTGTTGTTGATAATGACTATGATTTAATAGGTATTACTGAAACGTGGCTGCCAATTGAACAATCCTTATCGAACCATATAATCAGAGACTTTTGCCCAAAAGGCTACAAGATGGTTCATATTCCACGGAGTTCCAGCCAAAGAGGTGGCGGTGTAGGTATATTGCACAAAGATACTCTTGACTTGAAAATTACTCAAACTGTGAACACTTTCGCCTCATTTGAATGTATTGAACGGCTTCTCAAATTAGACTCCACGTGGATAAGAGTTGTTGTAGTTTACCGACCTCCTGTTTCAAGTGTAAATGCCTTGAGTGTATCGATGTTTTTAAGTGAGTTTTCGGTTTATTTGGAAAATCTAGTGCTGTTACCCGGCGAAGTCCTTATCATGGGTGATTTTAACTTTCATACGGATGACTTGACGAACCATAACGCTTGTGAGTTCTCAAATTTATTAGATACATTTAATATGTCACAACATGTTAGTGAACCTACTCACCAGTCTGGTCACACACTTGACCTACTTATAACGAGACAAGATTCGAACTTAATAAATGGTATATGTGTCCACACACCTTGGATAAGTGATCACAGTATTGTGCAGTTTAAAACCACCACAAAGAAACCGAGTGTTGCTCGGAAAACAATATCTTATCGACGATGGAAATCACTTGATGTAAACCAGTTTCGGCAGAGTATAGATGATATTGACATTCAATCTGTCAACTCGCTTTCTGATCTTGCTCTGTTGTACAACAGTGCCTTACGTGATCTTTTAGAAAAACATGTTCCCTTGAGAAGTAAAACTGTCACATTACACCCACAAGCTGAATGGTTTGATGCCAAGTTGCTAATAGAAAAGAGAGCAAAAAGAAAGTTGGAACGTAAGTTCCGATTATCTAATTCACCTGAAGATATTCGTCAGTTCAACGAGCACTCAGAGTATTACAGTCACTTGCTAGTTACAACGAGACAGAAATTTTACACAGATAAGATTGAGGCAAATTATGGTGATCAGAAAGTACTATTCCAAGTGTTAGATAAACTTTTACACCGTGAGAATCAACGTCAATTTCCACCGCATGATAATCTTGATAATCTTACAAATATGTTTGCGGATTTTTTTGTCCGGAAAATTGATACAATTCGCTCTCAACTACATTTGGCTACTGTCGATAATCTGCTAGGATTTGAATCTTCCTGTGAGACCGTTGAAAAGTTGGAATATTTTAGTTCAGTTTCTGAGCATCAGATTGAAAACATTATTCGGTTAACTAACAACAAATCATGTGAACTTGATCCAATTCCAACTTGGCTCTTGAAGCAATGTATTCCTGCCTTACTCCCGATTATAACAAAAATTGTTAACCTGTCGTTGCATGATGCATTCATGCCTACCCTGTTCAAACAAGCCTTTTTGACACCAATACTGAAGAATATTTCCCTCAGCACAGATGAAGAAAACAGTTTCAGACCAATATCTAATCTTTCTTATGTCTCAAAATTAATTGAGAAAGTGGTGGATACCCAATTAACAAATCATATTCAGGAACATAATTTAGATGAAAGCTTACAATCGGCTTATAAGAAACACCATTCTACTGAAACTGCCTGGGTTCGGCTACACAATGATATTTTATCTGAGTTGGATGACAATAAAACTGTACTGTTGGTTAGCCTTGATGTGAGTGCTGCATTTGATACCATTGATCATAGTATTTTGTTGCGTCTGCTCGAAAGTCGGTTGGGTGTCTCTGGGCAGTGTTTGAATTGGTTTCGTTCCTATCTCAGCGACCGTACAACAAGAGTTATTATTGATGGCAAACGTTCAGATATAAAACGTGTAAACTTTGGTGTCCCCCAGGGATCTGTCCTTGGCCCAAAACTTTTTACACTATACATATTGCCACTGGGAGATATTGCACGCAAACACAATGTACAGTTTCATATATATGCTGATGATTGCCAACTATACATATCCTTTAAGTATGAAAATAGATTGGAAACCATTGATAGAATGGAATCTCTGATGCATGACATAACAACTTGGATGACAAAGAACATGGTGAAGCTCAATGATGATAAAACAAAGTTCCTGGTTTTGACAGGTCCTCGTCGAGACTGCTCTGATTTTCCTTGCTTGTCAATCGAAAACGAAAGTATTGTTAAATCAGAATCAGTAACTCTCTTAGGAGTAGAACTTGATGACAAGCTTACCTTAAAGAGTCATGTTCGTAATGTTGCGAAAAGTTGTTTTTTCAAGCTCCGCAATATGCGTAAGATTAGAAAATGTATCACTGAAGATGCAGCAAAAATAATGGTACACAGTATGATTACATCAAGGCTTGACTATTGTAATGCTATCCTATATGGGTTACCAAATTGTGACTTGGACAGGTTATATAGTGTGCAAAAGCTGGCTGCACGATTAATCACAGGAACAAGAAAGTACGACCATATTACACCGATATTGGAAAGACTCCAGTGAAAAAGAGAATAGAGTACAAAATTCTGTTACTTGTGTTTAAATGTCTCCAAGGAACTGCACCAGAGTACTTATCTGAACTGTTAAAAAAGCGTGAAAACAAAGGCACTAGAGCAGATGACAAAAACCTTTTGGTTATTCCTAGGTTTAAGAAGGTTACCCAAGGTGGACGATGTTGTGGAAGATCTGGCCCAACACTATGGAACAATTTACCAGACAGCTTGAGACTTGAGACGAGTTTTAGCATTTTTAAAAGACGTTTAAAAACGCACTTTTTTGAACTTTCTTATAAGTAAATTAGGTCTAGGTCACATTTTTAAACTTTTTAAACTTTTTTACTAGTAAATTAGGTTTTGTCCATATTTTTAATGTGGTATGAATGTAAAGCGCCTTAGAGAACTGTAGATTTGGCGCTATAGAAATTCTGTGTATTATTATTATTATTATTATTTGCCTAATTTGCATATGTCAGCAATATGCAAATTAGGTAAAGGCATTAATTAAGCATGCGAAAGGCTAATTTTTTAGAGAAAAATGAATAGTTACCTTTAAACTAAAGCAAATTGTCTGAAACTTTGTAACAGTAATTAAAAACCCAACAAATGTTCCATCTATCAACTCAAAATACGATTAAAGCTTTTAAATTTCGTGCGCAAGCCATTTTTAATTTGTTGGAAAAGACACCCCCCCCCCTGGTTTACAAAATTTGAGTTCGAGAAATTTTTTCCATTTTTCTACATTATAAGTACCCAAAGAAGCTATATCATGGCATCAAAAACTGGATACTAATGGCTGTTTTGCGAATTTAAGAGCAAATTTCCCATTTGGGCCGTTTTTTTTTATACACCCTGTATTACATGAAGGAAATAGTTATATTTTTCTGGTAGTTGAATATCTATCAATCCGTAGATTTCCTGTTATCCTCACTTCCCCCCCTGACACAGATTGTTTCACGTCGACCATTGACATGAATTTTCATGTGTTTAGGTGCTGGCGGTACGCAGAGACTGACAAGAGTGGTTGGCAAATCATTAGCAATGGAGATGGTGTTAACTGGTGATCCAATTTCAGCAAAAGAAGCCTTACAAGCAGGACTGGCTAGTAAAGTTTATCCTGCGGAGGAGCTGTTGGACAAAGCCCTTAAAGCTGCCGAGAATATCTCTGAGAAATCCAAGCTGGTTGTTAACATGGCTAAAGAAGCCGTTAACACAGGTATATGTTTAGGGCAAAAGTTAAAACAAATGAAGCCTATATATAGTAGCTGCTGTTTTATGATATTAATGATAATGATTAGAGCTGCTATACCATCGGTTCATTACCATAAGTGATTAATCGTCACTGGTTAATGTCGCTTCAAAGGAGGGAGGCATTTTTAAAGCCGGTTTTCCACTTGCGAATTTTTTCGCGCGAAGGGAATTTTTCTTTTGTCTTTATCCAATCAGTTATTGTTGTGAATATGGCGTCAAATTCGAACCATCAATTGAAGTATAATTGTCAGTTGTTTGCTATTTTAATTTTATGTTTTTCAAAGGGTAGATGCTTAGATCAGAGAATAAAGCTTTCAAGGCAAAGTAGTAATTTTCAGAGATACGCCAAAAATATTTTAGCATAAAATGCGCGCGGCATAGAAAAAAATGAGAAGAATTGCCCAGTAACTCTAGACGAAGAGTCTTCGCTCCAAACGTCGAAATTCTCCTTGTATTTTTCGGGTAGTTGCATCCCTAGCAACGAAAGCTTGTTTATATAATGTATTACCAAAATAAATGTATAAGTAACCAACCCTAACTCTAACCAGCAAAAACATTATTATTTTTAGCATACGAAACAACATTAGCGGAAGGAATTCACTTTGAGAAGAAAATATTTTACGCAACGTTTGCCACTGTAAGTTTTTGTTTTTGTACGTTTTATCCATAGTTCCGTATACTGTATGTTTGTAATCCCGTCAGAAACGCTTGCAAGCTAAAGGCCCATACACAAGACACGAATGTTCGTGTACGATTCACATCCTGGCGTATGTACTCGAATAGATGCGTTGTAAGAGGGTCCTGAATTCGAGAAATGAGAACTAGGATTTGCCTATTTTTGGGGGGCTGAGAAAATGGGATTTGGCTACTGTCTAGAACTGGAAATGACAGACACAAAAATGGGAAAACTCAGACATGATATAGAGACAGTTGACATTTCAGAGTTTAAATAACTTCGAAGAAAGCCACCGACGGAGAAACTTTTGATTGAGAGTTTGTCTAAAAATGTCGTGAAAGATTATTCTGCCCTTTTCCAGCTCTGATTAGCAGTTCATAAAACAATCACATTATTCTTTGAATCAAATCACAAAAATTTGGCACACGCCTTGTAGACAAAAACAATAAAAAGGGACTGGCCGTCAATGTCATCTTTAGCTTCAATCTCGAACCAGAGCCTGCGTTCCTTGTGGCCTGGCTTCACAAGTCGCATCTTTTCGATGCCATCGAACGCCGTCTTTTCGAACGCCATGTCTTTTACCTAATATTTCTCTCAGAAACATCACGAACCAATGGTCTGCAATCAAATGTTTTGTATATATATACAGCCAACTCAAGAAAAGGTTGTCCTTTGCAAAGCTCCACTACCCGTTATAATTAAAATATGCTTTCTCTGTCTTTAGGATGACCGCAAAGAAGGGATGAGTGCATTCGTGGACAAGAGAGCTGCTGAATTTAAAGATAATTAGAACACTAGTGTGAGCGCGTTAAAACTACCACTGAATATAGACATATTAGGAAAATAGTGCTGCCAGCACGTTTAATATATCGCATCCTGAATAATTTGAGTGTGTATTCTGTCCATCTTTCACTATCTATTCTTGCTCAAAAATATGAAGAGAATTTTCGAGGATGGAGTTGGTCATTTTTTTTATTTATTTGTTTAGCTTTCCCAACTAGGGCAGAGTCACCACAACAGCATATGCCAATTATGCCGTGGTCCCTTTTACCTAACCCACCCATATGAGGTGGTAACGTGATGTTACATATAGGGGCATGTTACATGTAGGGGTATGGTACATATTATAGGGGCAAACATAATGACGCAATGTTTAATGACAGAGGGACATGACGCAATATTTTCAAGTTAATTGCAGTACGAGTCGTGTTATATATGTAGGGGCAGGGGTATAAGGTGTTCACCCCTATATCAGTGTAAGATAAGGTTTTCATGCCTGCCCCTATATATAAGGTTTTCACGCGTGCCCCATATACGTAAGACTAGGTTACCCACAGGGCAGTAATGCTGCCTTTGACAGCAAAAGACAAACTACAGGGTGTTGAACGAATCTTTCAGAAACATCCTATTATTGTTATCCTAGCCTGCATAGCGGCTCTCAGAGAAAGTAGATCTGATGGCCGCTACGCAGGCTATTGTTATCCTTGTTAACACATTTATTGACAGCACGGCCCTACCACTGACTGAGTATTAAAAATCGTCTGGCGTTGGACAGGGTAAATACTAAAGTCATTACTGTGCTGATGGATTAACAAGAGCCATTGGCAGATAGGTTTGTTAACCCATTTACTGGCAGTACCCTGTACCACTGACGAGTAAAATTTTCTGGCGCTGGACAAGGGAAGGGCGCATTGCCAGCTAATGGGTTAAACCACCGTGGTTAAACATAAGATTTGATGCTCCAGGAAATGTAAACAAACTATCAGCGTGACATCCCAGTTTATATATTTATACACTCGGAATATTGATTTCTCGGTAAATACAAAATTATTTTAAAGTATAACAACCAGCGAAGACGTAAGCCACTAACTACCCTGCGCGGCTGCGCGCAGACTATATAATGACATATATATATTATCCGTCCGGTCCGTCGGTCGCCATCCGTCCGTCCGTCCGTCCGTCATTCATCCGTCCGTCCGTATCCCCGTTTTATCCTAACTCGTTTTTAAAACACAAAATTAAGGCAGTGCGGTTCGTCATGCATGATCAACATTTTCAAAAGCGGCCAATTAGACCAGGGGTTAAAGGGCAATGACAATGACATGCAGGTGACATTTAACATTGTGTCTCACTAATTAAAATTTGCGTGTTTATTAATAATAATGTTTATGAAAGAAAGCAAAAATATATACAAGACAATCTCACATGTGAAATTGTTTCACTTCGTACTGCCTTGTGATGCAGTACAAGTATAAACACCAAATGACAAAGCATTTGTAAATCCTAAAACATAATTAAATCATACTATCGTATTTCAACCGCGCGTTTATACTGCTTGGCGCATTCGCTGCGTTATATTCATTTATATATACACAGAAAAGCATGTCATTGTCTTTGCGGACCATAGGCAAAAAGCATTCGTCAACCACATACCAAATTTAAGCAATCGTTAAATCATATACATGTCATGGAAAGAATATGAAAATAATGTTGAATGAAAGCTAGCTGTATAATGTTAAAAGCACTGCATATAGTGCCGAACCACTGCCGGTATAATTGCAAAAGCACCACGTATATAAATGGTGAAAGCACCGCGTATAATGCTGGAACCACAGCGTATAATGCGGGAACCACCGCGTATAATGGCGAAAGCACCGTGTATAATGCCGAAAGCGCCGCCGTATAATGCTAAAAGCACCCAACAAATTGCCGTTTGATCACTTTAAGCCAGCTATGGCTTTCCATAAAAGAAGACCAAAGATGAAAGATGATCACATTGCCTGTTTGCCTTATGCTTGACCGCGCTGCACCACGGTTAAAATTCACTGGTACCGTCATGCAATGCGCCAAATAGAAAATTTTGATTTCGACCCACAAAACAAAATTAGGATCTGCTGCCTTGCTCGCTCGCTTCAGGCTCGCTCGCTGCGGCAGCAATAAGGTTTTCACGCGTGCCCCTATATGTAAGATAAGGTTTTCACGCGTGCCCCTGGCCCTATATGTAACATAAGGTGTTCATGCCTGCCCCTATATATAACATAAAGTGTTCACCCCTATATCAGTGTAAGATAACGTTTATAACTCTGCCCCTATGTGTAACATAAGGTTCTCACGCCTGGCCTTTACTTGTGACATAGGGTGTTCACCCCCATATCAGTGTAAGATAATGTTTATACCCCTGCCCCTATATGTAACATAAGGTTTTTTCCCCTGCCCCTATTAGTAACACTCGTACTGGAATTAACTTGAAAATATTACGTCACTTCCTCTGTCATTAAACACTGCGTTATTATGTTTGCCCCTATGTGTAACATACCCTTATATGTATCATCACGTTAACCCACCCTGTATGTATCATCACGTTAACCCACCCTGTCAACTTTCCCTGTGGGAGGAAACCGGATTACCCAGAGGAAACCCACGACTTTCGGCAGAGCGTTGACTTTTACTCTCTTCACATGAGGACTGGGTTCGAGTCGCATTGATTGAGAAAGTTCTCACTGAGATTTGAACCTGCGACCTTAGAGGTGAAAGGCAAGTGCGCTAACCACTTCGCCATAGGGATGGGGATAACCGCCATTTTTGGCACCGGTTTTCTTTTCACTCGAATCAGCGAATTCGTAGCTCGATTGCCGAATCATGACGCGTTCAGTCACCAAACATTGGGCGAGACCAAAAACATACATACAAAATATTGAAATACTTCGGTTGTTATACTCGCAATGAGCAAGCAGGTAGGGGCAAAACAGGGACCGTGCAGCGATTTTATGATTGGGAGAGGGGCTGGCGTTGAGATGAAGTAAGTTGCAAACCTTCCCATGGGGTCTGGGGGCATGCCCCCTCAGAAAAATTTGAAAATTACAAGCCCGGAAAATGCATTTCTAGCTATTTCCCACAATAAGTTTGTTTAAAGTAACACCATGATTGTGTATATTGCCTGATGATAGGCAGCTATATTTTTGTGAAACACATGTCTAACTGAAAAATTGGAAAAGATTCTTGCCGATGATTATCGTATTATAAAAGAAAAATTGCACAAATATGAGACTGTCAAATGGAGCGTTACTCTACTTTGAAGATCAAGTAGGCACGCTTAATTTAAAACTGCGACACTATAGAAGTTCAAAACACTTTCAGAGCTAATAACTAAAGTTTCGCCTTTCAAAACTGATCATTTTGTTTAAGCCAACCGCAGTGTCACGTAAAAAAAGGGAAATATATTTCAAGTAATATATGAGAAACGAGAGCGAGTGTTTCACCGGGATTAATCTCAAGTCATAAATAGTTCTATGAATAAATTAGCCAACCATATTGCTTTATTTTGCTCACACGATAATACTGGATACCTTATGAAGCATATTGATCCAGTCCTAGGACTGATCAAAATTAATTAAGTCCTTGGACTGGATCAAAATTAATTCACCTCACTTTAAGTAGTGATTTATACGTATTAGATGGCATTTCAAATCCTCCAACTCGCACGACTGGACTAGATTTCAAGTCCTCGCATTTTGATCCAGTCCTCGGTTTCGCCTCGTGCTTGAGTCCAGTTAGTCCAGTCCTCATAGTCGGATTTGAAATATTACTTATATAGGCCTTATAGCCCAGTACTAGTGCACCAATTCCAAAACCAAGCACGAAAGGGCATATGCGTTCGATCATTATCATGAAAATTATTGGGAATGGGAGGTCTGAACCTTCCCATCCCTCGCGCCCTGCAGTAAGGTGCGTTTGTCCACATTTGTTACAAAGTGCTCATGATAGACCAGGGCGTATGTATGGGCTATTTCTATGGTATGGGCCCATCTGATAATTAGCTTATGCCGGACAACCGGACAAATAATTTTTCCGGACAGTAACGATTCTCATTCATCCCTTCCTAATTATTTCTTTCAATTTCCCAATTTTAGGTTCTATTGGCACTTTTCAGAAATTTTTCTTCAAATGTTCTATTTTCGTTCCGTCCTATTCAGTTTATGTTTTGCCGACTGAGAGAACAACTTGCCGACTGAGAAAACAATTTGCCAAGTGGAGGGTAGAGCACCCACCCCTCTACCATCGTCCCTGAATGAAGCTAGTGTCTACAAGACGTATTCAATAAAAAAATAAAAGCAAATTGAATTACAATATCCTAGAATCTATATAGGTACTCGAGTCTCGAATTGGAAATTTCCTTGCATGCACAGGGGACAATGGTCGAGGCTGGGAATAATTAACTAGAAAACCTCATTAATTGTCAGCCTCGAGGTAACGTTATTGCAGCCTCACAAGCCAAGCTCTCTAGCTGCTTCACGGCTGGAGTGTATTTGAGAGGGAAGCGCAAATAGAAAGTCTGGCTTGTGAGGTTGTAGTTATTGTTTCGTGTGGTGTGAATTTTGATAAATTAAATATCTCGTTCGTATAAAATGCAATTGAAGACATCAATGGTTGTGCCCAAACATTAAACCCCTTCTCTAATAACCCCCTTGTTTCAATCCCTCTCTCTATTAAGGCACCCCCCCCCATTTCTTGGAGGAAGAACTTACTAACTTCCCGACGAAGGGACAGTGGCGTAACGTTATATCCAGAGGCGAAACTTGAGGGGGGTATGGAGGGGTGTGACACCCCCCAAAGTACGAATCATCTGGATTGGCAGGGCAATCAAAAATTTTAAATGATAGAATGTAGAGTTATTAACTAACTTACAGGGCTTCCAGAGGGAATTGAATAGAATTTATAGACCTAAATTTTACCGATATTGGTCCAAAAATTAGGGTTTCACGCATGTTTTAAAACATGAATTTGTCCGGA